TTTTACTTGAACTTTCCATGTCGCTGCCAATGAATGGCGGCAGTAGCGGCCAAGGCTCAACGTAAGGGAAGTGGGAAGGAGTGAAGAAGAGCAGCCCAGAAGCAGGATCTCGTAAATCTTGCTGTGACCTCCAAAACCCGGCTGTCCTCCCCGGTCTGTCCTTCCCCCACCTGATCTTCCCCCACCTTAAATGGATACGTATCTTTGGATTATTTTTCTCTAACATTTCTTTAATAAAGGGAGCACACAAAGAGAGCCATACCTTCTGTCCATTGGTTAACTCCCCAAACTCCTGCCAACAGCCAGGTAATGCCAGGCCTGAACCAGGAACCAGGAAATCCGTCCAGGTCTCCCTGGATGGGTAACAGGAGCCCAAGTGGCTAGACCATAACCCACAATGCCCTAGGCACATCAGCAGGAAGCTAAACAAGAAGAATGGAGTAGCTGACACTCAATCCAGGCACTCCAAAATGGGATAAGGTATTCCAAGGACAGCATAGCCCCCTGCCCCACAATACCAAAGCCATCACACATGAAGGACAACACCCTTCTGAAATTTCTATCTCAGGTGTCGACCTCCAGAATGGTGAGAGGATAAATGACTCCTGTGTCAGCACCAGGCCCAGCCCCAGCAGAGTGTGTCTCGTGTGTGCACTGCTGATGCTCACCTCACTGGGCGGGAAGCTCTGTGGACTCTTGAGTGACCTCACTAGACTGGGGAAGACTTGCTCTCGTCTTGGTCTCTGAAGGATGGAGGACACAGAGGACAGTACCTCGTTTACTCTAAAGCTGGAGACTCCTCTCAGATTCCAGCAGCTACTCCATTCTGTGCTGACGTCGGCTCATTCATTTTGCCCAGAACCAGTGAGTCATTCATTATCATTCCCAGTAAAATCCTGTGCACTTGTGTCCGTTAGTTAGGGGCCAACCAAATGCTTGTGCCTATTAGTATGCTCTCACATTCAAGACAATGTGTGGTAACAGTCATCACTGATCAAGACAGACTGGATGGAGGAGAAGAAGCCAGAGAAGGAGAGAGAGAGAGAGAGAGAGAGAGAGAGAGAGAGAGAGAGACCTATGTCAGAGTAAAGGGTGGAGGATGCAGGGTCCTCTGTTTATTTTTACACAAGTCTGGGAAGTAGCTTTCATGCATCCCAGATTTACTTCAGGTAACTAAGAAACCACGTAGACTTAAGGAGCACTTTGGCTGGCAGTTCCAAGGCCATCAGGATCTCATGCCGTGAACCACTGGCACCACTCCTACTTCCTGTGTTGCCAACTTTGTGCACTATTGAACTACATTTGTCCACAGACAAAACTCAAATGAGGACAATGGCTATTGTTGTGGGTCAGCCACCCTTCAGGGAAATCACCTTCTGCTTGCAAATGAGAGGAGGGCAAGGACGCCCTATGGGTAATACAAGATGAAAAGGACAGGCTCTCCTGCTTTATAGTTATGTTTTAGAAAAGGCAAAGGTTAAGTTGAAAATAGAAAGCCCCTCTGGCTCTATGATTTAGCAAAGACCATCCAGGGTCTGATGAGGACTGGACATGGGAGACAGGTGTGTGATTTGGGGCGTTTGTTTTCAGCCCAAATTTCTCTCTTCCCATTGTAGCATTTCCCTCCCACGTTATTGTTTTTCTTCTACGACTTTCGGTAAATACACCTCGATTTCCACCTCTGTTCATTGCACTCCCACTGTACCTTTGTACTCCAGGGAGTTGTCTGTCATCTCAAAAGTACTGTTATTGTTTTTTCCTATTTCTCAGGAGCTGGCATGAGGTGTTTTATATGGGACATGGCACATTGTTTCTCAACAATGAAACGCCAGGCAAGACAGAACCCAGGCTCTGCATACATCTACAGAACAGGAAAGAAATGAGAATTAACATTTGCTGTATGCTGCTGATCATGAATGTATTAGAATTGGCTCGGGATCTGAAGGCAAACATTGTGGAATTAACATCAGCTGAAGTTTTACATTGTCCATAGTTTGTAGCCAGTTCTCTGAGCGGCGAAAGACATAAAGCTTGGTTACCAGGTGTTCTTGCTGGCAGACTTTAATCAACCCTGACCTGTGTCCTGTCATTCCTGCAGCAGCCATCCATGGCAGTGAGGAGCACACCTCACCAGCTTCCTTTCCCCTGCGGGTTTGTGCCTAGCATCTGCAGTTCTTCTGATCTTGCTCCTCTCTGGAGACCTAGATTGTCCAACAATGATGGGAATGTCCACAGCTTCTCCAGTGTATGAGCTCAGGGCTTAGAAGCACAAGTGGACAGAAAGATCCTCAGTGGGTGGCAAAAGGTGAGGCTGCGATAACACTGAGCTCAGCAGCAGATTGTAACGGCTGAAGAGTCACGTTCTTCAGACACTATGGCAATTAGGTTAGACTGCCTACGAAGAGCTCAAAGCATGCCTGGTCTGGGAACTTGTTTTCCTAACCAGCTGGCCACAAAGCTTACTTCTGTTAGAGGTATCAAGGGAAGAGACAGGCAGAGTGGCATAGCCAGTTCCACTGCCACTTGAGACACCCGCCTCCCGTGTAGGAGTGTTAGTTTCAGTTCCAGCTATTCTGCTTCCAACCCAGTCTTCCTGTTGACATGTCCAGTGAGACAGCAGATGGCAGATCAAGACCTTGGCTTTCTGACACCCACGTGGCCAATCTAAATTGAGCCGGGTCCTGGTTCAGTCTGACCCAGACCTGGCTGCTGAGGGCATTTCGGGAGCTAACCAACAAACGGAAGCGTTTTGTCTCTCTTCCTCGCCCGACTCCCCACTCCATAGCTCTGCCTTTCGAACAAAATCTTTTTTAAAAGAAAAGAAAAATCAAAGGAAATAAAAGTGTCCATAGATGATGAGCAGGGAGCAAGCAGCATTTATGTGTAGAAGGAAAATAATCTTATTTGAGCATGACTCTCAGTGTAACCATGACATTAGGTGCACCATAGCTGCTGTGCAATGCTCATCAACTCCGGGTTAAGCAGTCCCGTTGTGAAGCCAAATAAAGCTTTTTTCTCACACTCTAATCTTTCCTGAAGTTTACCTCTATGCCAGAGTTTTTCCAAATGCTCAGATTTGGGCTTTCCCTTCTCATATTATTTTTGAAAGACTGCACATGACGTTTCTGTACCTAGTGACCTAAGGCAGAATCAAAGTAGCTGAAAAGAGGTAGACACAGTGCTGGGGACATCTCCTTTTTGGGTTGTACTAAAAATTATAGTTAGTATCCAAAGAAGATGAGAAAACTAACTGGATTTTCATAAATATTTTTGAAAATTTTCTTAAAGTTTTTTTAATGCCTGATATATATTCTGGATACCAATCCTTTTTTCTGATACATAATTTGAAAATATTTCCCTCATTCTTTCCATTGCTTTTGTTGCCTGATCATAAGGAGGTATGTCCAAAAAAAAAAAAAAAAAAAAAAGCAATGCTAGCATGAACATCTTAGCTTTCCCGTATTTTCTTTCTACAATTTCATAGTTTCATATCTTGTTTTCTATTCTGAACTGCAGGTTTGAGAGAAAGAGAGACAGACAGAGAGATCTTCCAACCACTGGTTGGTTCACTTGTCAAATAGCTTCCACGGTCTGAGCTGAGTCGATCTGAAGACGGGAGCTTATGCTGGGTCTCCCATGTGACCTCAGGGGCCCAAAGACTTGCATATTCTTCTGTTGCTTTCCCAGGTCGTTAACAGGGAGCTGGATCAATAGTGCAACATCCAGGACAGGAGCCAGCAACCACGTGGGAAGCTGGCGTCGCATGCAGAGGCCACACCTACTAAATCATGGCACCAGCTCTCATAGTATCATTTCTTATGTTTGAATCTTTAATGAAAAAAGAAATGTTTTTGCTTGAGCAATGGTCTTAGATAGTTCACAGAAGAAACACAAATAACCAACAAGCATGTGCAGAAAACTGCCACTAGCCATCAGTGAAATGCAGATCCAACCCGAGGAGGAATTCTCATTCCATCCCTTCACAATGGCTGTTACCAAAAAAAAGAGTAACAAGTGCACAAGAGCGTATGGAGAAGGGGAGCTCTCACACACTGCTGCTGGGGGTACATGTTGGTGCAGACACTATGAAAACAACGTGGAGATTCCTCAAGAAAGTGAAAGTGCCACCCAATCCAGCAGTCACCACAATGAAGAACAGTTCACGTGCCATCTTTATCGCCGCACTGTTCACAGCAGCCACTGTGTGGAATCAAAAAGATGTCCATCACCAGATGAACTGGTAACGAGAGTCTGGTGCATACACCCACAATGAAATACTATTCAGGCATAAAAAAAAAAAAAATGAAATCCTGTCACTTGCAGTAAAATGGAGGGAGCTAGAAGTCTTCATGGGAAGTGAAATATGCCAAACAGCAAAACAAGCACCACATGTTCTCACTCACTAAAAATAAACAACCGCAGCAAAAAATCCAGTCTAAACACAGGATGGAGGTTGTTAGAGGCTGGGAGGAGGAGGAACAGGGGTGCTTATGTAATAGGTGGCAAACCACAGTCTTTTAAGAGACTCATTTAAGAGGCCTAGCCTCTTCTGATCAATACTCCATGTGGACATTGCCTTGGAGCACTTTCCTCACTTACCATGAAATGGATGATGGCACATTGATAAAGGAAGTCTCACCCCAGTTACTTATCATGGCAAAAAGGTAATAAGAATTAGAGGGTCAGACTAAATCTAATCCTGGGAAGGACATGAATAAATAGAGAAGTTTTCATGAGATAAAATTCAGATTGAAGCTATGCAACATCTAATGGAGGAGTTAGGCAGCACTTTCTCAAATAAGCATATAACTATGGCTCTGTGACCTCACTCCCATAAAGAAACCTTCAGAGGAGTATTCATTGCATTATTGGTGTCATTGTATTACAGTGAGTGTATCCTACAGAATCCATTTCTAGGAAGAGACCAAGCTGATTAAAATCTACATGTGTGAAGAAAGAGTTGGTGGTCAGAGATAGAAGAATTAAATTAAGGAAGTCACATCGCTTCTCTGCCTTTTGCCTAAGATCAAGTGTAGTATCTGTTCTTATCACTTTAATATCTGATACGTCCTCTATCTGAGGACTATATATTAAATGGATTTTTGGAGCCTGGAGTTGGAATAGGAGCTTGCTCCGTCCACTCCGTGCATCGACCTGGTAATTGCAATACCTCCAGGAATGGTGCACCATAAAATTTTAAAAATACTAAAATAAGGAAGTCATATCAAGGGGGCTTCTGAACAGGCAAACGGTTGCATATCATTAATTTAATTATCCAAAGCTTTTTTAAAAACAACCAAAAAACACATGATTTTGCCCCTGAGTAAACATGATGATAGATTTTACGTCTAAGAGAAACACATTGAGTTGCTCTCCTGTTGCTTACACTGCAAAGCAGCACAAACTTCATGGCTTACAGCACAAATTTGTTATCTTAGCTCTTGCAGGTAAGAAGTTACTTCTTGCAACAACACTCACCTTGACAACCCGACTGTCTGTGGCTCCCACCAAGGTCTTGTTTCCAAATACAGCCACACTGGGACAATTCAGTTCACAGCAGGGATCACTTACCCTCAGCTAAAAGTTAGCCTCATAACTCTGCCTCATCTATACATAGCAAATGCTTCCAACTGTGGTTGTCCTGTTTTGCATCTGTACTTGTAAAATGTTATTTTAATATCAGTTGGGTAAATAGTAAGTTCAGTTTTAAAACAACACCACCTATCTGCTCCACATTTCTTAGTCATGTAAATCATGACTTGAAAAGAAAAAGGACTCCACTTAATCAAGAGCATTTTAATTTACTTATACCTTTATTTTCTTTTTCAACAAATTTTATTGAATTCTTCTCATTGACTAGTCATTATTTTAAGCACCAAAGATACAGTAATCATTGATATTAGACAGTATTCCTTTCACATCTGGAGTTTCGTATTTTAGCAACAGAAGACAACTGAAGAATGAACACAGAACAAGCATCAGGTGGAGACAGTGCCTAAGATAGGAAAATGCATTGAAAGTTTCCTATTCAGTCTCCCAGAAGGGTGAAATTATCTAATGAATAGATGTAGACAGAACGTCAGGGATCAGCTTCAAATCCGTACTAACCTTGAGAGGATCCAATGAAAGAGACTGAGAGAGAAAACAAAGCCACCTACAGCGGGAGTTCCAGCAGTGAGGACATAGTGGTCTACCCAAGTCCATTGGCAGCTGGAATGGACCAAAGGGTTCCAGAAAGTGAGGGTTGTTAGTGACCTGGGTAAGGAGGACATCAGAGGAACTGCTGGGGCAAAGCCTTGTGCAGAATGGGAGGTGAGAAAGTGAAGATAGAAAAAGAACTCGCCTGGGAAATATGCTTGAAAGGGAGCCAGGAAAGGGAACAGCAGCTGAAGGGATAATTCTGTCACGGGAGGGATGTTTTCAAGGGAGAAAATAGAGCATCTTAAAAGATTGGTGCAAATGGCTCAGAAAGATCTAAAATGTATGTACAAGATGTAAGGGAGTGATTTCAGGAGTAGCATTCCAGGTTAGCTGAGAAAACAGAGTCCATTTGCCAGTGTAGATGGGAGTTGCAGGGACCGGATAATTCAATTGCTACCACTGGATGGAGGCTGCTCTTTCTGGATGCAGAGCAAGTCTCCTGTCAGTGTAGGCAGAGCAGGTGGTTGCTGTCCTCTGAGATCAGGAGAAAAATCCACATGTGTGGATCTCTACCCACACAAGTCCTTCAAGTGGAGACACACACAACATAAGTCAAATCTACAGGTAACTGTAAGTACCTTGTCACCTTTAGGCACATCCACTGCAAATCCTGCCCTGGTTGCATCCATCCCCTTCAGCCTCTCGTACAATCCTGTCCCACTCCGCTCTGCTCTTAGTCACAGCCCCCAACATGGGCCCTCAGAGTCAGTTTAATGAAACCTCAATTTTGTTCCAAGTTTTCAACGTAACCATACCACTCCATGGCATTGGGGTTTCTCCTTTAAATACCGTCAGATGCACATTCTGGCCAAGTTCTGTCTCTTCGCACAAAGCTGCAGTATCTGCTCACTGCCATCTGTGTGGCTCCACAGATGCCTGCTTCCTCAGGACAAGGGACAGTCCTCTAAATGGAGTGCAATTTGAAAAACAAATGCTTCATTATGCCAAAAATCTAAACACCCAGATAGTTACTGCTTCCTGTTTTGGCGTAGCTCCCTGACAGCAGGGCTGGGAGTTGGCCACTTACCAACATGCCTCCCATGAACTTGCTGGCAAGGTGACCAGGGACTATGGGAATTGACTTATCTCTAATGGTGTCTGACAGCACAGACACCAACTAATGACGCTCACGGTGAAGTCCTTGGTTTAAAACGCACTGAGCTTGCTTCTTCTACACTAAACACATCCTGTTCTCATCCTAGCTCACCCCATTCCTCGACTCTCTCCTGAGTCTGTTCACTCCCTGCACAGCACATGGGATCCTGGCAAGGAAAGTCTGGATGCACAATGGGTAGAAAGCGCTCAGGCTGAAATCTTCTCTGGCACTCTGAGAACTATGCAGCATTATGTAACCTGCCTGCTATCACACGTTGTTACTTTTATTAACACCACTTGAATAACATTATCCAAATGTAAGATAAAATTCGCAAGTCCTTTAGGAAAAAAATGAGTGTGAAAATTTCAGGCAAAAGGAATATGGCAAAACATGACCCCATAGAAACTCATGAGAAGTAAATTTTTAAAAGTAAACTTGATGGGTTTTATTTTACTAGAAGCAGTTTTTGTTTGGGTTAGGGACAGAGATTTGGCATATCCGAGCACAGTGTCACTAGGTCATCATTGAAGTCAAAGAGAGTTACCCCTCTGCTGCACGGCCTTGTTGGCTATAGATGAAGCCATCATTTGCTCTTCTACCTCCTCCCCTCTCCAATTAAATCCAGTTTCTTTCAGTAAATTCTCTGGGACCAACTTAAATCATCATTGGTTAGAAGAAAGAGAAAAGTTATTAAAATCCATCAACACACTTAAGTTCTGTTTTGTTTATTTCATTTCCTCTTTCACTCATGAGAGCTAGGGAAGAGATTTCAAACCGTGGTTTTTAAAGGAATGTTCCTTCTTCTCCAATCCACAGGGCAGCACCAACTTGGGACAATAAGAAAATGATAAAACAGGAGGGGTGCAGGGGCCTAAGGTGATTCCTCAGCAAGAGCTAGAAATCCTCGAGCCTAAGTAATGCGATCTTCCATGGAGTAAAAGAAATGCTCTGCAGTGCTCATGCAGAGGTTATTAATCACTTCATTTCAGGTTCAAATCTGTGGGGCCTCGCACATCCACAAGTGGAAGCTGGTATCAAGTCTGATGGACCTACCTATCAAGAACAAAGTAGAATCATCAGAACAGCACATCGGTCATTTGCCTACAGCATTTGTAAGACAAAGTTAAACAAAATTTTTGTAGGCTTTGTTTCTTCAGGGCAAGAATTCTGCTTAGTAATTATATTTAAAAGCCACATGCAATGCTGGATTTGAAGCAACCTGCAAGATTTATGTTAACTTTATTGATCTTGAACTTGACTTAGATCTGCCATCATTTTTATATTTGACCATATATCAAAAAGTTGCGTGTTTTTAAGTGTGAATGTAATTTAAAAGCTAACAGCACTGAGCCTTCACTACTTATTCCATTAATAGTTTTCTAGGTGTATTTTAGATTAAGTGAAACCTGATTGTTTTATTAACTGTGTAGTTGATTCATTTGTACTGCTCAAGCCTGTTGAAAAATACATAGCTGTCCATATATTTGATTAGCTTGAGGCCAAGTACAGATACATACATTTTCATTTTGAACCCCAGAATTTAAAACCCAGTCCATGTTCCTCTGGCACACAGAAATTTAGAGTTACACAATGCATCCTGGCAAATAGAGCAGAGAAGGGAACATGGACCCGTGGACCTCAGTGATTCAGACGAAGACAGAGGGTTTAGAGGAGAAAGCAACCACAGAGGGCTGGAGAGTGGTGGGAACCAAATTCCACATCGAAAAATAATTTAATTGAACTTTAAGGGATGGGCCAGCATTGGAGAGATGGAGAGCAAAGCCACGCACAAGATAAGTCAACACTTTCAGGTTGAATAATGATGTAATAAAGCCTTTTATGAGATTTGAATTGTATGAACATATGTCACAGGACAGGAGGCAAAAGATGTAAGTTAAAAGCTGTTGCTTAAATAAGCATATGCAGGTATGATATTCTACACTGGAATACTGTGGAAAGGAATAAAGCCATGGAAGGAGGTAACAGGATTTGATGGACTGACATGAGAAAGTCAGACAGACCCTGGATGGACCCCAGCTGAGCATAGGAGTCAGGACTGAAAAATCACACTGGTCGCATGGAGTACCCCAAGATATAACATCATGGGAAGACAAAGAGGTAACAAAACATGAATCTTAGAGAAAGGCAGTACAGGGATAGAGACGGATCCTGGAAGGGAGCTTAGCATCACAAGTCATAAGGAAGAGAATGTTAGAGAAAGAGCAATGTGGCAGACTGTTGAAGAATCAAAACGGAGGCTTGTGGAAAGGCCGTGAGCTTGAGAGGAGGGGAAAGCACAGTTCCCCGAGGGTGATGGAGGAAGGAGGCTTGCCAAGGCAACAGGAGACCAGAGCATGTGCTGTGCTGCTTGCTGGTCAGTGGGAAGATCAGGAGGTGGGAAGCAGTAAAGCACAGAAGGACCGAGAGGACAACCAAGGATAGAGGGGAGGAAACACTGGTTGTGAACAGACTGGACGGTTAGACAGGCCAGAGAATTGAGAGTGAGTGCACAGGGTGGCCGGGTTACCACTCAGACTTTGTCAGAAGGCATCCTGTCGATAGCTTCAGGTCTTCTCCAGAGAAAGCTGTAAACAGTTGCAGAATGAGTCTTCTGGGGTCACAACTCAACTTCTGCAGGTGAAGGAAAGATTACAGTCTGCATAACCTTCCATCTCCCAGAAGCTTAGCAAAGACACAGAGCTTGGAGCCATAGAAAAGAATCAGGTGGAAGATACTGAAAGTAGTTGCAGGAAGAAGCTAACAGAGTGTACACAAATAGCTGGAAAGCACTGAAGGAAAACGTTTATTCAGATCCCAACAATTTCAGAATTTTGGTTAATCTAAACTATGTGTCTAAGTTCTATTTCAATGCCATTCACTAATTATATGAAAAGA